ACTGAAATTTCTGCTCCCGTGTCTACCAATGCCTAAACATATCTACCATCTATCCCCACCTTAATTAAACTGCTACTATATATATCGGTTGATATTGAACACAAAAGAGGGCTTTCTACCATTTTTTCCCCATGGCTAGTTGGTCTATTTTCCGCCCTTCCTAAAATAGACTTTTTGGGTTTAAATTGCCCCCCTGTTTTTAGTTGTCACAATTTCTAGCAATATGGCCTTTCGCCCCACAACTATAACAAATTATATCTCTCAAATCCCTTTTTCGTGCCCCTCCCCGACATTCTTTTGCAACATGACCTCTTTTGCGACAATTATAACAATTATCAACTTTCACGGCTGTAACAGCAGGCTGCAGAATGACCCTGCTTATTACAAATGCCACAAATCGGAATTGTATTGAATTTCCTACCCTGGTAAGTTAGACTTGCTCTACCAGTTTGGCCCTCATCCAATCTGGGTCCCTGGAACTGCGGCGGGTTGTATACGTACTGCGGTCGGTGTTGCTGTAATAATTGTTCAGTTTTCTGTGCTAACCTTTCCACACTTAGTTCAATCGCTGATAAATCTGCGCCACTCTTTTTCTTCTCTTCATCTTGCATATGACAAACTATTTCACTCAGTCGGGCCCTTCATCGCGCTTCATCAATCGTTTGAAGCTGATGCACAATCACCTGACTCTTGATGTCATTCCGTAGCCCGGCGCGAAAATAACGTAATTGTTCTTCGGGCGTCTTACGAAGTCGGGCACAACGCGACTTGATATTTGCTGTGTAATCTTCTACAGATTCAACGGCTCCCTGTTTTCGCTCAGACAGTTCTTGTTCAAGCACCCAGTCTAAATCAGCGTTCTCAAAATATGCAATGAAGGCTGCCGTCAAAGCTTCATAATCATCTCTCACTTGGGCTGGCAATTCATTTACCCATATCTCGGCCGGACCGGTCATCAGCATCCTGAAACCTACAGCCTTTCTATCATTCGGTAGTTGGTTAAAGTCTGCATATGCATTGAATTTCTGTAACCAATTTGTTGCATTCTCTGTTTGTTTAACAGAGCTGGGACGATCCCCATGTTGACAGGTGTTGGACGATTTTGCAGACCTTCGACAGCTTCCTGTATCTCTTCTACTGCCTGTTGTGTAATTCTCTGATCTCCAGCAATAGCTTGTGTCATTTGTCCAAGATGTTCTGTCAAAACCTCACGGATTCCTTCCATTATGTGTGTTCTTTGTCTTGTTATCATACAGTTTTCACAAGATGTCTTTTTTGTGTTAAACACAGTGCCCAAGGGTTATCCACCACGTGTGATAGGTATTTTTGATGTTTGAAAACCTTTCACTTAGGTAACCGGGATTCGATTGTTCCCCACGCTGGACTCACAAAAACACACACAAGCTCCGTTCATGTCCATACGATTCTCCGCTTGTCCCCAGCTTTCACCCGAGACAGCTTCAAATCACTCTTTATTACTTGTCACTCATTAGCCAATTACAATACAGTATAAGAGACTTCAAGGCCTTGCCTTCAAACAAACAGCCAATCACATGAAAGTTTTACACATCATAATCAATTGATTAATCGTCACTCTATTAAGAAAACTACTATCATATTGTCGACATCAATTTATATTTATGGGTTTAATAGTCTTGCAATAACATTCCACAAAGACACCGCATAAGTTTGAAATCGCAAACACCAAGTTTTGGGTTACGACCACCGTACCATGTAATCTTAAAAGTTGCAAACTCATGAGATGTCTCGGCTGATTTAGACTAGTTCGCCATCTGGCCTCATCATTAACCTTTATCAGTAATTTAACCTTTATCAGTAGATGTCATGGCAACCACTATTAAGCTGAAATATAAATCATGATACTTCCGTCTGTTGATCCAATGAAGATCAATGCTTGCGAAGGGAGTTTAACTAAAATATGAAGTTGTTTCTGCCTTGAAAAAATCTCCGCTCAATAAATCTCCTGGTAGTGATGGGTTTCCCCTGAATTTTACCTTAAATTTTGGGATCAGATTGGGGATGCTCTGGTGGCCTCTTTAAATTATAGTTATATGCATGGACTGATGTCTAACACTCAGAAGCAGGCAATAACTTTATTACCAAAGCCAGATACAAATATTTTGGAACTTCGGTGTATAGCCAAGCGTCTTGAAGACATTTACCCTCCATTAACCACGAAAATCAGTCTGCTGTTATTAAAGGAAGAACTATTTTCGATAACATTAGACTCATTGGTGATATTATTGACTATTGTGAAGACGGTAGGCAGCCTGGTGCACTTTTATTTGTAGATTTTATGAAAGCGTTTGATTCTTTGGAGTGTTTTTTTTTTGCACAAAGCTATTGACATGTTTAAGTTCGGGAAATCTTTTAAAAAGTGGGTTTCAGTTTTTATAACAGTATTGAAAGTTGCGTTCTCAATATTGGTCACTCCACTGGTTGGTTTGAGCTATCCAGGGGTATAAGACAGGGCTGTCCGTTATCATCTGCTCTTTTTGTGATACCAATAGAGCTATTGGCTATAGCGATTCGCTCAAATGATAAAATTGAGGGTATAGATTTGCCAAAGGGTTTTAAACATAAATATTCTGGTTTTGCAGATGACACAACTCTTTGTGTGAGAAACCAAAGCTCAATTCGTATTGTCGTAAAGGTCTTAGATAATTTACAAGAATTTTTTGGTTTAATCGTCAATGTGGAGAAAACAGAACTACTCATTCTAGGGAATTTGAAGCGAAATTGGAATAAAATGGATGCTTAGCCCCTTGCCACAAACCAATTAGATATTTTGGAATTTTAGTTAGGCATGATGCCATCAAAAACTTAAGTCTAAATATTCATGAGAAAACTAAAAAGATGGGGGCAACATTAGATATTTGGAAGTCACGTGACCAGTCATTAAATGGCAAGGTTATTTTGAGCAAAGTATTGGGGGATACACATTTACTCATTGTGATGGACTCTATTTCAATTCCGTCAAAAGATATTTTAAAAGCAAGATCGACATTGTTTGGTTTCCTTTGGAATGGAAAGAGGCACCATATTAAAAGTAATACTTTGACAGGGGACAGAAATAACGGTGGATTGCGCATGGTCGACTTAGAGTTACAAAATAAGGCTTTTAAACTTGCATACATGATGCATATAATAGAAACTGATGCACCTTTGGGAAATATTCCAAAGAGTTATTTTGAGAAATATGGGGGCCTAAAATGTTTACTAAAATGTAACTATGACCCATGTAAGTTTTCTTTCCCACCATTTTATTCTGATATTATACATTTTTGTATTATACATACAACCCACCAGTTGATGGAGAAGGAATAACATTTTGTGGAATAACAAAGAAATTTTAGTAGAAGGTAAATCATTATTTTATAGTGAATGGTTAAGTCAGGAGTAGAGTGTATATGTTATATGAACAATTTATTGATAAGTGTAAAACCAACACAGATTTGTTGACATACTATGGTGTGACACATGCAATCCCAGCAAAATGAAAGGTAAAGTTAGGTAACAATATCGGTGCAACTGATCATCTGACCCAACACTTTTAAACGGTAAAACTCGAGATTTTGTTATAATGCCATGGTAACGAAACGTTTTGAAAAGCCAACGTTGATCTTGAAATGGGAAGAGAGTGATTGTGAGAGCCCAGGTGAGGTAGGCTGGACATATGTTTGGGAACTTCTATATGCGACCACGACAGAAGAAAAATTGAAAGTTTTCCAGTTTCAAATCTTGCACCGAATTGTTGCTACAAATAACTACCTTTACAAAATAAGCTTAAAATTGATTATCTCTGTAAATATTGTAAACAAAAAGAAACAATACCACACCTTTTCTGGGAATTCAATACTGCTAATTTATTTTGGCTATCCTTTCTAGACTGGTGGAAAAATCTAACGCAAAGTGATGACCATGCATTGACTTGTATAAATGTAGTCTTTGGAATGCCAGAGCAGTGTGTACTGCTTAACCATCTTATTTTGTTAGGTAAATATGTTCTATATACAATTCGTTACACAAATGCAACCCCGATTTAACCCATTTTATTAAAAATGTAAAGGAGAAAATGAGTACTGAAAAACATATTTTAAGTGAAAATAATTTTATTCAAAAATGGGTCCCGCTACAGCACCATTTTGATTAGTATTTAAAAAAAATTCTTGTACATTATATATTATTTGTTTATTGTGTTGTGTACGCTGTATCTTTTGTTATTTAATGTGATGTACCTTTTTTGTTGTTGTTGTTGTTGTTGTTGTTGTTGTTGTTGTTGTTATTGCTGTAAACAATAATTAAACATAAACATTAAGAAAAAAACATAGTAATATACATGTATACTCCATGTCGTACTTAATAAGCATATATATTTATTTTGTGGTGGTCGCGCGCGACATATTTTGTTGAAATGGGTATGTACATTGAGCTGTATGGCACATTAAATAAATACAGAGGTATCCATAGTCACGGTAGCTGCTGACATAGAGAAAGTGAAGCAAGTAAATAACATAAAATAAACGATTTGAGGGACAGCGCCCCAATGTCTACACTGTGTGGCGTAGATCAACGTGGACGGGTTTCACACTTTCTGCAACTCGGTTATTAAGAATTATTTTTAAGGGATAACCAGTGGCCGAATGGAAGACGTGTCGCGTCGTGACGTGAAGCTAAGCAATAATGTGCCGTACTTCTTATCTCACGTACATCAGTCAAAGTAAGTCATACCCATTGTTCTGATTAGGATGAGGCGTTATTGTGAGTATTCTTAGCACAATACACGATTTAGTTTTGTTTTTCTCAGTCCTAGATAAACCCAAGTAGTTCATAACCAGAATGCGAAAGGGTCATTATTGTTATTATCATAAGACACGTTTCTAATCAATTTTCATTTTCTTGGTTCGGGTCATGTCAGTTGAAAAAAAGGTTTACGAGGATCTTTAATTCTAAAATCGTAATATAAAATACTCCGTAACCAGTGCTATGAATGGGATGACTTGGGGGGTAGGTAACTTGTTAAAAATCGCATTTCATGGCCATTATGTCTACTAGTGAAATGTTTTTTTTTTGTTTTTTTTACAATTGTATCACCCTCATGACGTCATTTAGAACGTATAATCTAGGGCACATTCATCAATTTTGGCAAATAATTTAATCATTATAATTTGATATGATCTAATAATAATTCCAATAGTAATATTATAATATGACTCGTATATTTGCTACTCCATATGTCAAAAATTGTAATGACATTTGAATCGCTAGTCTATGATGTTACGTATTATGGTGATGAACGCCCACGAAATCACGTGATCGCGGTTGCCACATACTGCGAAACACCCAGTTTTACCAACTAAAAAACAAATAATAAAATTTAAAAACAGTTAAGCATGTCGTGTACCATTTTTCGTGGGGTTGCAACCTTGTCGTGGTCGGGAAGCTTATGTGATATTTATTCGTGTAGTGGTCTGGGGTCAGTGACCTCTAGAGCTATACCTGTGGGAGATTTAGTTCTTCTATGTATGTCGAAAGGTAGGGGCGAGAAAACAAGCAATTCTACTGGTCCTCCGGGTTGGGGTTCGGCACAGGACTAAAAACGCTGTTACGGAAACAACAACACACGGAATCAATATTACTCGGCATGATGGACTTCCAGGGATATCTAGCCACCAACTTGAATTATAGAGGTAATTGTCCATTAAATCCCTCAAGAATGGTAAAGCTCATGTGTAATTGCAAGGCGACCTCGAGCGCAGAGTTGTTCAAGGCAGACCAAGACTTTGCTGCTAAATACTTTTCACAGGCATCTAATTTAAATATGACATAGAATTGTATCCCTTGGTGGAGGCCAGCCTTTCCTGTGTCTCGTTGTTCCATGGATGTTGGTCTAAGACTATGCCTTGGTTGGACTCTTCTCAGATGCTATTGTGAAGGCAAGTATATCCTTGGTTACATAGCAACAAGGGACACGGTGATAAGAGTTGGGAGTATAAAGGGAAAAAAACAAATATTTTTATTTTTCACATTTTTTAAAATTAAAATTACAACTCCCTTGTTGCGAGCTTTCACTGACATTACAAAGTTAGTATATCTCCTCTGGAAACTCATGTGTATCTAGGCTATAACAATATAGGCTTTGACAGTTGGTACACAATAAGTCACCCCATGTAGGGGCGGATACAGGATGTTATGTTAGGGGAGCAGTGGGATATATGTGTACGTGGTAATCTTGGGGAAAGCTGTCATTAGCCATATGGTTGCCATTATGGTCACTGGGAACAACTCTCTACAAACAAGTTTTTACAAAACCATCTGGTACGTGCAAAGGAAGCAATTATGTTGAATCAGTGGATGAGTGTTTTACTAAAATTAAAAAGGAAAAACAAGATGTCAATTTGATTTGGACCGTGGATCGTTCCCGGGGGAGGCACTGGCCTTTCAGTTGGGTAAGGGTGTGCGGCCGGGAAGTAAAACCCCAGACCCCACCATAGACCATTTTCATCTCAAAAACCATACCCCCATTATAGACCAAATAGTGATTTTCTATATCCCATCAGAGACCAAATTTTCACTAAATGTATTTAGTTATAGGTTGAATCTACTTATCACCCGGACTCATCAATCTGAATGAATGATCAATCCAAGGAAAATTACTGACTACAAAACTACTTACTTTTCATCACACATCATTTTGTTTGATTCACAAAAAGTTGTTGTTTGACAAAGAGACCAGAGACTGAAAACAGACCCCATCCCCATCAGGCAAATCTGATATTGAACCAAAAAGTTGTTGTTTGACAAAGAGACCAGAGACTGAAAACAGACCCCATTCTAGACCGGCAAATCTGACATTGAACCAAAAAGCAAGCAAATCTATACCCCATTCTAGACCAAAAATCTGAAATTTACGATCCCAAGGGGCGGCACGTCTCCATAATGTGATTTGCATTAAGCGACCCCCGGGGATCACTTTAGTCCGTTTAGTGGTCTTTCACATTATCCAATCCAGTTTGTTGAGGATCTACGCCCTCACATACACAACTTCGATGTTCAACACCTAAATAGGAATTAATTAAACTTAAACTTTAATAATACAAATAATAACATTGGGATTATATGCAGTGAGTTTCAAGAAGATATGAATGTTTTCATGGAAATTTATGAAATATTTGTAAAACATCATTTGCCCTTGATTCCAATCAAAAGAAAACACCTGTCGAGTACGAGTCTCTGACTTCCTTCCGTCTTTGGTCGATTTACTGCCACGACACACTCGTCAACGTGTTGTGATTGTTCAAGTTGTTTTCAAACTCAAAACATTAACGCTATGAAAATCACTGTATATTCCGGGACTTACTAAACAATAAAAGCTATTATGGTAGTCCCACTCTACTTTTGTATTGTATTATTATTTTTCATGCAGTTTACAACTGCGTTGTCATGGAAAATGATAAAACTTTGTTCATCTGTATTTCGGCCACCGGAATTTTGTCGTACTCTTTCACGCACCTTTTCAAAATCTTTGCTTCGGAATGTAGCAAAACAAGTATAATATAGTTGTTGGCATGACAACGGATACTGAATTGAAAACACGAACTTCGTTTTGATAGTTCTCGCCCTATACAAAATGTGAACATGACAGTTTCAGTGGAATAACATCCTACCATGTCTTATTCTGTTCCTATGACTTAGTGGGCGAGTCATTGCCATTGAGTTTTTTTTTTATTTCCACACGGTGATTCCACTTGCACTGGAGAGCTGGTCGTTTATAACAAAGCTTCTCATTGGTTGGTTTGTTTATAGTGCGCGACAGAAAGTGTTATTTGATTGGTCGCTGTGATAATACCTGAAAGGACAACACGCGTCTCATTGTGGATTACTTTCATTTAGGGAGGAAGCCGTGCTGTTTCCAGATAGTTATGTTGCTATTATAACCCCATACCACTACGCTCGGCTCGGTTTTTCACACTACACAGGATATTTGTGCCATGTATAACCGTCAAAAACTATGGATTCAGCATACCACACAATTGTTTATATTTTTTGCCATTTTAGGTAAGTTGTATGTTCGTTCGTCGTGAAGTGCACCTTCCATTAGCTGGACATTACCCTTTGGTTCGTACATTAACGTATTGCTTGATATTCCCCTGCACATATCGCGCTTTCATTCCCTGTTTTCGAGCATATCTGCGAGTAATAAGTTCAGTTATCTGAACTGAGTCTGAACTGTTCATGTAC